CCCTCCTTCTCCTCCTCCGCCCGCCGTTAAAGGCGCAACCGCCCGCCGCCGTGCCCGCTGCCCTCCCGCCCTCAGCTCCGGCGAGGGGGAGGCCTGCCCCCGCGGGGGGGGTTTGACAAGGGACGTTTCTCCCCTCAGCAGCCGCCGGGCTCCCCGCTGGAGGTTTCTCCCCAGCGCGGCGCTGCAGGGGGGAGCAGGGCATCAGCCACCCGTGGCACCCCGCCGCGCTGAGGGGCAGTGGGGCAGCCCCGGTATGGGGCCATCGCCACCACAGCAGGGTCATCGGCCTCGCTTGGGGACCCTCACACAAGGGCACCGAGTCCCACCGTGATGGCAGCTGATGCCGAGCGATGGCACGTGGGGGTATGGCATAAAGGATGTAAAATGTGGGTCCAGTCAGAGCTGCCCCAACCCCACCAAGATACTGCTTCTTGGGAGCAGGGGGCACCTTGGGTGAAACACCCGCGTATCCATGCAAATGTCACTGCACACACATAAGCCCTAACACAGATGGACAGAGATCTATGGAACACAAAGCTGGGGTACCCCCTTGACCTTTGGGAGTTTGGGGGCCAGATGTCCACCATGTGTCACAGCTAGCCCTGGAGCAGCTCAGAGCAAGCCAGCTGAGTTGGGAGGAGGCAGCTGGAGTGTATCAGACCCGCATGGGGGTGTAGGAGTAGAGCCCAGGCTGGGAAAGTTGTTTGGGGGTCCTGGGAAGTGGGAGGTTTGGGCTGGATGGGCAAAGGAGGAGTGAGGCTCCATTGTGAGCTCTGGGAGCAGGAACTGGGGGGAAGGCTGGAGGCCAGTGTAGGGTGAGAAGGAAGGGAAGAGCCATAGGTCCTGTGGAGCAAAAGCCAGACACCGCCAAGCTTCACAGGCACCAGGATGCCTTGTTAGGCAGGACCTGCTTTGGCACAGTCATCTCAAAGTCAAGAACTGCAGCTCCTGCAGTCAGGCTCAGAGTGGACAAGATAAGTGTGATGGGGGAAAACTCAAGAGCCTCCATACCAGGCCAGCCCATGGGCACATCTAGGCCAGGACCTCCGGATGCACAGTGTAAGCACAGGCTGTTGGCACCAGAAGGCCCAAGTTGCAGCCCTGCCAGCACAGCAGCGCAGAAAGCGGTCACCTGCTTCAAGTTGTACCAAGATAGTGGGTCCTCCACAGTGCTCTGAATCCTGCCGCCAGTCAGCGCCTGCGCCAAGTTGATGGGCCATGGAGACCGGGGAATAGTTCCTGCTTCGTGCAAGCCTTTGGGAAACAGAGCAGTTTCCCTCTCTCACTGCCAGGCCAGTTTCATCACAGAACTTTGTCTCCATTCCGAGAAGTTAAAATTTAATTGAGTTTTTCATAGTAATGACATTTCCTTACACATGCTCCATTGAACCTCAGTAGTTTCACAGCTTACGTAACAGCGAACAGATGGGAAGGTGGGTAATAAAGTACGCAGCTGCTGCCAAATGCAGCCGAGGGTTTGCCCTCTTACCCTGGGTGGGTTCACAGCAGCCAAGAGGCAATTTGCTGGAGCACAACACTGCTCACAACTTTGTTGCAAGTGGCAGGCCCCTACAGGCACTGAGCGAGGCAGGCTCTGACAGAAAGGGCTCCTGGAAGGATGGATCTGAATCAGATCCCGGGAAAGGCAGCTCTTAGTGTGGCCTGGTGGGAGTGGAGTTTGGGGTGAAGCTGCCTGGCAGGTGGGTGCAGGGTCTGGGGGGACAGTGGCCACCCTAGCTCTCCCCCCCATTGCTGGCTGAGGCAGCAGGAGGGAATTTGAAGAAATCCCAAACATAGACACAGCCCTTGGGGATGAAATCAAAATGTGTGTATGGACACTTCAGCTACCTTTATTTTAATCACTTTGGGCTTAAAATAAGAACTCTTTAATTAGAAACATTCCCTTAATTGAATTGTAATCAAGCTTCTAGTGCTGTTAGCCTGCCTAACCATGTGATCTAATAACACCCACCTTCTCTCTAAGCATTGCCTAGTTACACCTCTTCTTATGGAGTGATTTATATTAGGGAGCCTGGGCCAGAGGCTCTCATTTTGGCTATGCATATAGCAGCCATACAATGTGGACCACAGTGTTACAAGTAACTCCTGCCCCAGCGTCTAAAAAAAAAGTAGGTGTTATATATAACACAGTCTGTGCTAGGTCATGTCCATTCCCAGTGTGCAGCAGTAGCCACAAGCATCTTTTTGTCTCTGTGCACCTCTCCAAAAATGAACATCTCCTCGGGTATAGCCCTATATTAGGCACCAGAATACAACAAAGGTGCACCAAGATTTTGTTTTAACAGCAACTGGAAGGATGTCTAACCTCCCAGACCCAGCAGTGAGCCACAGCCGCACTTGTAACCCCATGCCAGGCTGAGATCCCAGGAGGCCTCACCTCATCCCTTCTCCCTGGTTTGCCTGGGAAGAATCTTTGGGTGTAGAGCATGGAAGGGAGTTGAGGCTCTAGTCAAACCCGTTAGCTCAGCAACTGGGGGACCTGCACCTGAGACACCTCATGTCTATCTCTCATGGGATTCAGACATGGCCAAAGCTTCGCTAGATGATCCAGGGAGTGCTGCTGCTGAAGGCAGGCAAGCAGAAGATGGGATACATGGGTTGGCTATGCTTGCAGGCCCTTTGGCTCCTGTCCTGTTCGCATGGGAAGGTCCTTGGACAGTCCCCAGTGCTCACACTGCAGTGCTGTAGAGGAAACCCATGGCAACTGGTCAAGAGCTGAGTCTGAGCTGAGTTTTGTGGGCTGGCATATCCAAGGAGGCTATACTTCACTGGATACCCAGCCATGTCATTCCTTGAGTAGGAAAGGAAAATAAGAGCTAGAGTTGCTCTGTTTATTCACAGTGTCACTGCTGGGTGGCCTTCCAGAATCATTGTATATGATACTCATAGCACCTAGTAAAATTTGTGGGAAAGCTGAGCTTCAGTGACCTAGCAGACCTCCGAGAACTGCCAGGTCACATTTGGCAGCTCAGTCTGATCCACAGTGAGCAGAATCCCATTTCACCCACTATCTGGAGAGGGGCATGCTGCTTTGAAGACCAAAGCGGCTTCCTCACTGTGGGACTTGCCTATGCTGGGAAAGTGTGAGGAGTCAGGGAAAGAGCAGAGAAAACTTCATCTCCATGCTGAAATTCTTCTGCAAGGCCAGTGAAAGCAAGAAAAGATGAGAAGTAAGAACAACACATTTCTACATGCAGTTCAAGAGCAGAGGTTCCCAAGGAGGCATGTACCTGTGGCTTGGCACATCCAACAAGGCAGAACAGAGTTGTTCAAAGCATTAACTCAGAGTTAATTCAGAACATTCAGCCCCCACTCAAAACAAAAATTATTAGGATTCACAGGGTCTTTTTTACGGGGGACATACACTCTATCTGTACTTCTCAAATAATAATAGATTTGCCTTTTCAATACTCATACCAAGCAAGACAGTAGCGTTTTAGAGAAGACCCAGGATTCCTGGAGGGAAGGTCAGATGCAGCCTGCAAGGTGGGGATGCTGATCAGAGTTCTTTGCCAGAGTGCTCTGCATTTTAAAGCTGTTTCTATGGTCAAGTGCAAGCCCCCATTCACATGCAACAGGGAGTAATAAATACTCCTGCAAATGAGACATCAGGATCCCAGGATAGGACAAGGCTAAAAACAAAGCAAAATGCCAAAATAAATAAAACATAGCTAATAGCTACCTCGGAAAAGGTTGTAGTGAGTGACTTGCTCAGCATCAGGTAGGAAATCCGCAGCAGGGGCAGGGATCCAGGCCAATACACAACTGTCTCAGCAATGAGTCACTCCTTTAACTTCACACTTTTTTTGGGGGGAAAAAAAAAAAAAAAAAAGAGATGAGAGATGATGCTGAGTCCCGGCGAAGAGCCTTCTTCGTGACACAGTCCAGACTCATCCAGAGCACCATGTAACCTGTGTACTACAGGTGTCCTGTGGAAAATAAATCTGCGACCACATAATTAAAGACTCAACAGTAATTCATATGCATGAGGATATTGAAGGGCAGTTGTACAGCCAGCCTTGGTGCTGCCATTTCTCAGTGATGAGAAATGTATATTCTGATATAACAGACAACAGCAATGGCTTCTTGTCCTCAGTGAGGAGCAGGGCTGGTGAGAGGTGAGATGCATCGTTGGGTGGCATTTGGGGTAACAGCACAGGAGCAGTAAAGCTTGGGAGGAAGACTTGGGAGAAGACTCTTGTTCAGGCACTGGAGAGATCTGTGGTTCCAGAAACACAGGAGGCTGATATAGCTTTCCTCCCTGCTCCCAAGCTTTCCCACTTTTGGCTTCACTTCCTCAGGCTTGCCATGAAGCCCTGGGCTTCAGGCTCAGCCATTGCCTCCTCTCAGGTGCATCTCACCTTCCCTTCTCTGTCTCCCCCACCGCACTCCTGGGCCCGGTCTCCTGCCCAGACAGTACCAGTCTGGCTCAGCTGTGTGTCCTTGGCCAGTCAGTCCCAGCCTTCCCACCACGTGCTGTCCCCCTCCATCACAAGCTTCTCCATGTCACCAGTCCAAACCTTCCTGGGCAGCTGGTCGTTAGCAGGTCCCCTCCATCCCCAGTCCCCATCCGTCACCAGAATCCCCACTCCCCAGGCAAACAGTTTGAGTGCTTCCTGCCTCCCTCCCATCCCCACCTGCCCACCCCACTGCCAATCACCCCTCCTCTGCTCTTCCCATTCTCCATCTCACTGCCCCAGCCAACCCTGCTTTCTGCTTCCAGTTCCCCTGCTCAGCCAGCCTAAGTCACTCCAGCAGCTCCCAGGCAATAGCCCCTTGCCCAGCCAGCCCCAGCATATCCCTGCAGGTCCCAGTCTCATCTGCCTCCCA